CAGCTGCCGATGCAGTAGCATCAGCTGCTGCAGCTGCACTCATAGCAGCAGCAGCAGCAGCTGTTGCTGCTGCAATAGCATCAACGGCTGCATCTGCAGCATTTGCAGCAGCAGCAGCAATAGGTTCAGCAGAAGCAGCAGCAATAGGTTCCGCAGCTGCTGCTGCTGCTGCTGCTGCAACGGCAGCAGTAGCAGTATCATCCAGGAGTAATCGCTTAACGTTGTACAGCAGCAAACAAAATTTTGTTTTTATCTTTTTATTTTCTTGCTTTTTATCATCTTGCTCTTTTGTCTCCATGCGACTGCCTGCAGCAGCAGCAGTAGAAGTGGTAGCAGCAGCAGTAGTAGTAGTAGCAGCAGCAGCAGCAGCTAGTAGCAGCAGCAGCAGCAGCACGAGCAGCACCAGCTGCTGCTGCAGTGGCGGCGAAGGTAAGGGCGTGCGAGCCCAGTGCAGTCTCCTTTAGCAGCAGCAACAGAAGCAGCAGGAACAGCAGCAGCAAGAGCAGCAGCAACAGCAGCAGACACTAAAGGTGACAGCAGCAATACTGTCTCTCTGTCTGTCTTTAGCATTAAGCTCGCTTACTCATAAACCCTCTTTGTTTATTTGTTTGTCTTCACTCGTTGTAAACAAGGAGAATAGATAATAAGAATAATAATAAATAAATAATAATAAATAATATTTATTTATTTTATACAACAGGAAAAGAGACGCAAACATCTTCATTTAATAAAGCAAACTCTTGCTTCTCTGCGGTGTCTGTACAACATATTCTCAGGTGTATGTACACCCCATTATTCATCTGTACGTACACCTCAGCACTATTACCCACCTCTACGTACACCACCTCACTGCTGAGATATAAATAAGTAAACCCCTTTACTCAGCTGTACGTACACCTCAGCATTATCCCTGAGGTGTACATACACCTCAGCGCTAATAATGAGGTGTACATACGCCTCAGTATTATTGCTGAGGTGTACATACACCCTATTCATTACTGAGGTGTACGTACACCTCAGTATTATTAATGAGGTGTATATACACCCTGCTGTCTTAGAGCGAGGCTGCTCTCTCTGTGTGTAGCTAGCTGAGTGTAGCCTTTGTACAGCATACATCATTGTTGTTTAAATATATTATTTATTAATTATTTAATTTATTTTATTGTTATATTTCATTTAAAATGCATTTATTAGATACATTTATAGCTGCAGCACTCCAGCAGGTATACGTACACCCTATGTAAAGTATCGATTGTGTGGCTGTGCATGCAGGAGGACACAATACGAATGTATATTTATTTAAATGCATTTCTTTTCTTTTCTTTTTATTTAAATGCTTTTACTTTGGTCTCTAAACTTTCTTTTTGTTTTAATAAACAAGCACAGAACAAGCAACTCCGAGGCGCTCCCGTGTGGGGCCGCTTGAGCTGCCTATACACCCCACGTTCTTGCCGTTTCTGCTGCTGCTGTTGCTGCATTTGCATTTTCTGCTGCTTCTTCGGGGCAGCAATCAGTCTGCATCATCTGTGGTGGTGGTTCGATAGTGCGACGTGTGGGGTCGCTTGAGCTGCCTATACACCCGGCGTTTCTGCTGCTTCTGCTGCTGCTGCTGCTTCTTAAAGGCAGCAGTCAGTCTGCATTATTTGTGTTGTTAAATACGGTGGCTGTCTCCTCTGTCTGTACACCACAATGGAGGAGGGGGCCGCATCTTACTCTGTCATAACATCTGCCTCGCATGCAGATATTTCTTCAGAGTTGAAGACCCCCCGTATATCTCAACGAGGTGCCTGTACAGCTGAGGCATCTTCGTGTGGGGCCCCACACAATGATGAGAATTTAGAGGGTCTTGCGGTGGTTGCTTCTGCGAGTGCAGAGGAGCGAGCAGCAGCAGCAGAGCAGCAAGCAGCAGCAGCAGCAGCAGCAGCACGCTGGCCTCGTCCAGGGCCTCTACACTTTAAAGTTAATGCTCAAGATAGAAGAGCAAGAGCAGGGGTCTTAACTCTTCCTCACGGCTCTGTTAATACCCCTTTGTTTATGCCGGTCGGTACAAACGGAGCTTTAAAGGGATTGCATGCACCTCTGCTGCAGCGACTAGAGGAGGAGCGCTTATCTGGATTCTGGGGTGTAGCGTCAGCTTTTGCTTCTCCTGCTGCTGCTGCTGCTGCTGGTACTCCTGCTGCAGCAGCAGCTGCAGCAGAAACAGAAGCAGAAGCAGCAGATGCTTCCGTACGTGTAGATTCAATGTGGGGCCCCGACAACCCCGAAGAGACAGCCGATAGAGAAGCAAATGCAGCTTCCCAAGAACACTGCAGCAGCAGCAGCAGCAGCAACAGCAGCAACAGCAGCAGCAGCAGCAGGAAGAGCAGAGATTTTTCTTTGCTGCGGCGTTATAAGCCTCCGCGTTGGTTTAGTAATTTGATATTAGGAAATACTTTTCATTTGTACAGACAAGTCGGGTGTATGCGCATGCAAACAGCAGCAAAAGGATTACATCGCTTCATGGGCTGGGGTGCAAATCTGCTGACAGACAGCGGCGGCTTTCAGATTGTCTCCCTCAGCCGTCTTGTAGATATCTTTGAGGAAGGGGTTTGCTTCAGAATAAGGCAGCAGGGACTCAAGATTAAAAGCAAAAAACAAACACACAAACGCAACCGCGTGCAGCAGCAGCAGCAGCAGCAGCAGCAGCAACAGCAGCAGCAGCAGCAGCAGCAGCAGCAGGAAGGCGTCTCTGAAGAGAATGCAGTGGAGACAGAGGGCGATGAAATTATTTTGCTGACCCCTGAGGAATCTATTTATATGCAGGTTTGTTTAATGCATGCACGTGCTGTCTCCTTTTCATCTGCTGTCTCCTTTTGCTGTCTCCTCCTGTCTCCTCCTGTCTCTTTTTGCTGTCTCCTTTTGCTGTCTCCTTTTGCTGTCTCCTTTTGCTTCTCTTTCCTCCCATCATTGTCTCTTTGTCTGTTTGTTTGTTTGTTTGTTCGTCTCTTTGTCTGCTGCTGATTTTGCTGTAGGGCTATCATTTGCTGTCTCCTCAGTTTGTCTGTCTCCTTTTGCTGCTGCTGCTGCTGCTGCATTTCTCATGTGTCCTGTGTGGGGCCTGGGGCTTCTTATTCTGAAGTGTCTCCTTCTTTGTTTCTTTTTGCTTTTGTTTGTCTCTTCTACCTCTCGCTGCTTCCTTCTGTCTCCTTGCCTCTTCCCTTTGGGGCTCGTCTAGATGTGCTGCTGCAGCAATTGTTGCAGCAGCAGCTGCAGCAGCAGCAGCAGTAGCCGCAACAGCAGCGGCAGCACCAATGGCAGCAAGAGCAGAAGCAACAGCAGCGAGTACAACAGCAGCAGCAGCAGCAGCAGCAGCATTGTGTGCGAGTGTTTGCGTGTGCTGTGGTGTACTTAGAACGAAATAGGGAGTGATATAATAATGCAGTTAGACGACGTCATTGCTACTACTACGCCAGACCCTCAACGCGTAGAAGAGGCGATGCTTCGCTCTATTAGGTAAGGTGTCTCCTTTGTCTCCTTTGAGTGTCTCCTTTCAAGTGTCTCCTTTTATGTGTCTCCTTTTAAATGTCTCCTTCCGGCTGTCTCTGTCTCCTTTTGGGTGTCTCTGTCTCCTTGTGTCTTTTTTAGGCCTCTCTGCCCCCTTTTAGGTATCTCCTTTTAGGTGTCTCTGTCCCCGTTCAGGTGTCTCCTTTCAAGTGTCTCTTTTTAAGTGTCTCCGTTTAAGTGTCTCTTTCCCTCTTCAGGTGTCCCCTTTTAGGTGTCTCCTTTTAGGTGTCTCCTTTTAAGTGTCTTATATGTATATATTTAAATTTATGTGTATATTTAGACTGCATATATATATATAGAAACATCTACATATACATCTACATATAATATATATAATATATAATATATAATATATATCTGCGTGTCTTTGTCTTTATGATGATAATTTTATTTAGGTGGCTGGACCGATGTATATCAGCGCATCGCCACCCCTCTTCTCAAGCTTTGTTCGGCATTCTTCAAGGGGGTTTGAGTTTGCATATGA